AATGCATGCACACATGGAAAAAAGAAATTCAGAATGTACACACTGGAACAGTCTTTTTTTCTACTCCCCAGAGGTAACAATTTTAATGATCTTGGAACTCTCTTCACACAGGTCTACATATGTGGTGGGTTTAATGGAAATGAATGCCTGTTTACAGCAGAAGTGTACAACACTGAGAGTAACCAGTGGACAGTCATAGCACCCATGAGAAGCAGGAGGAGTGGGATAGGTGTGATTGCTTATGGAGAACATGTATATGCGGTAAGTTTATCTTGTGCTACAACAAAAACAACACCCCCTAGATTTTCTATTAGCAAATAGGTTTACGCTACCATTGGTAAGGATTTGAAAAACTTTTTTCATGGAAGACAATGGAAGAGGGAGGTATGAAATCGGTTTCCCTGACGCTTCCCCAGTGAACAGAAACAATGGTTAGCGGACAACCATGTTGCATTTCTTTTGCTATCCACAGGTAGGCGGCTTTGATGGAGCCAATCGACTTAGGAGTGCAGAAGCCTACAGCCCGGTGGCTAATACTTGGCGTACGATCCCCACTATGTTTAATCCTCGTAGCAATTTTGGCATTGAAGTGGTAGACGACCTCTTGTTTGTGGTGGGTGGCTTTAATGGCTTCACCACCACCTTTAATGTTGAGTGTTATGATGAAAAGACCGATGAGTGGTATGATGCTCATGACATGAGTATATACCGCAGTGCTCTGAGCTGCTGTGTGGTACCTGGGCTGGCCAATGTTGGGGAATATGCAGCTAGACGGGACAACTTCACAGGATTGGCACTACGAGATGAAGTAAAGTATTCTGCTTCGACAAGTACCCTACCTGTATAAGCCTCTTCATTTAGCTAATAAAAAGTCTAAGCAGTAAGAATTAGTTCTTTTTTTAAATAAATGCAGTGTTTCAACTTGTAAGAGTACTGTAAAATGTTCAACTTAAGGGAGCCCAGGGCTGGATGAATGAGGATGTAGGAGGGAAGGAAGAATTATATTCAACAGTGAGTGCATAATTAAAAAAGGAAAAAAAATCACACAGTACGAACTAGCTCTAAAGAAATATGTTTATTTAAAACTTACATTGAGACAATTAGTAGCTTTAACACAGAACAAGATAGCTTCAGGAACATAAACAAGCTATTTTATAATGTCATGTCTCAAAGTGTTCTAAATACTACATCTCCTCTGACTTAAAGGCAGATAGTCAAGATTATACTTTTCGTAAAGTAGGGGCCTAGATACTGCTAGCCCAAAAAACTCACTGTATCAATTCAAACTAAGTATTTATTTTACAAAAATTCAAGGAGCTCTAGCACATGGATCATAAAATCTTCAAACATCTAGAGCAAGTACTACTTTTCACCAGTGCATTATGCAGGAGCATTAAGTTAACAAGTGCTCTATAGTATGTGCTTCAATGTAAGACATTTGTAGTGATGGTCATATAGAGTAAGACAAAAGCCCCACAAAGTGATAAAGAGCAGTCATTTGGCTATCTAATTAAATTCCTTAAAGCAAAATGACTACCATGTGGTGTTACTGTTATTGTACTACTTCACTCAACTATGAGCTGTTTTGTTTCTAATGACCAGAACGTATGTTATTATGAAAGCATTATAACAAAACCCAAAATGGACTATTCTCAAGAAAGTAACAAGCTGGAGTGATGAACTGTGCCAAAATATTTGACAGTTGAGGAGAGACTGAATTGTTTCTCAAATATTCTACAGTTAAAGTACCCTATTTTTCTAGTGTAGGCAGAGTACTTGCTTCACAGTACTGTATACTTTCAAAGACATGAAATGTGGCCAATATACCCTTCTTATTTAAGCTTAATTTGAGGAAAATACCAAAAAAGTCCCTTTAGTTATATCTGATTAGACCAAGTAACTACAATATACAATTCAGCTCACCTGTATTACAGTATAGGGTTGATATTAGAATTATGAAGCAGAAAACGAAGTATTTTAAACATACCACATGCTACACTAGTCAGAGATAAAGAGGAAAAAAGTGTGCCTTAAGGAACTGCCTTACCAGCAGCCTGAAGTATTTAAAAAACAAAAGCACACAAATCTTCCATAAATACTATCTTTTTAGCTTCGAATTTCTGTTCTACATTAAAAGGGATTTACTTTTTTGGTCCCAGAAATACTACACAAAACCAGGTGATCAAAACAAAACTGATGTCAATGAATTTTAAGAACTTTTGGCAAAAACGTTATTTTTGAACTGGCACAGCAAAAGCAAAGT